CGCGCATTGAGAGTTTGTTTTAGGTTAAAAAAGCCTGAGTTCTAAGGTGAATTAATAACAAAAGTTTTAAAAAGAACGATATGTACAACATAAAAATTGAAGTGTGCAGTTTGGTAGTATTTGGGCATGAATAATAAGTCCTTCATGGAAACTGAAGAACTTTGATATCGGTCTGCCCTTGAAATTATTTTCTAGTTGGTTAACTTTGGGTGCTTTCTAATCGGTGGTTGTCAATCTATCTGGCCAGCTTCAAAGGGTCGGTCGCACACATCCTTCGGGTTTTCCAGGAGGCTTGCCATAATTGTCAGGACTAAGAGCCTATGGAGTAGAAATTTGACCGTTTGGACTTTGTGAATTTGGGGATCCTTATATTGTCTTCGTTATTTCTGGTGTTTCTGGGGGCGTTTTGGTTTGTTAGTAAATTCATTTTGAGAATATCTTGGTCATGGGTGGCCTTAAATAGGAAGTTGAGACCATTTTGGAGTCTTCGAATCCAGAGGGGTCGAAGACCGTATTTATGATATAGTTCTAAGTATGAACCCTAGATGTCATCACTTGTAGACAAAGATTTAGTAAAACGTCTCTGAATGCCTTCTAGTTTCTTTCTGCCGTGTGAGAGCATTATACAGAAAAAAATTGAGATATAATCTAAGGGAGGGAAACAAACATTTTGTAAAGTTGAATTCTTAGTGCATTTACGGTGAAATTTTTACATATGAGTTAGGGATAGATCAGAGTTAGGGTTAAGGTTGGGAGGCTAGGGTTAGAGGTTAGGGGTCAGGCTACTGCAGCTACGTTTACGAAATGAGATTCGGCCAAGAATAATAAGGATTCATTTCAGTACTCAGGATATACTAACGGAGATTAAGAACGACATCAATTGTAAACGACAAAAGGACTGAAGATCCTGAGCAAAGTGCCGGTTACAATACTGAGGATCAGTAACAAGCGGGCTATTTCGCAAAACAGGTAGGAATGCAACCCAACATGAAGTGGTTGTTGACTTGTATTACTTCCCACTTCCGGGCAGGCACTGATTGTCATTAAAAGGAGCATGTAAAAATCAATAACAACGCGCGCGAGTCTCCGTCCTGAGAGAATTGATTTAGCCCGTCAGTTGGCAGAATACCAAGCCAACAATTTTAGCACACCGTGATAGATTCAATCGGGTCAGATTTACTACAGTTCACCTAGGGGAGCAACACGGTCAAATCCTAAAAATTCGCGTTTTATGAGTCTGCGGCTTCACGAATTCGCGTGTTTCTCCTTGGACCCTTCACAATTAAAATTCGCGAAGCGTTGATTGTCTCATAGGAAAAGCGCGCAGGAGAGTTCAACGTATCAGAAAATGAGCGAGTAGGCCTCGGATGGCGGACAGTAGACGTATGCACATGTGCGGTATCAGACTGTATGTCAGTATATTTTAAGAGAAATAGGCAGTGCACATACGTTTGCCAACAAACACCTCACTCCTCCCCTCCGCAGCTACCCCACTCCCCCGCATCAAATACCACCACCACCACCACCACCACCACCACCAACACCACCACCATCGACAACACCGCCATCAACTGCACCATCGCACCGAAATATGCCAAGCATTCCTTAGGGGTGCGCATTTCTAATATCTCTGTTAGTCCAGCGCATCCGCCGTCTGCTTCAGTCTAGGGGCAAACACACACACACACGCACACACACACTCTCTCTCATATTTACACGCATTGGCTTATTTCCTGACATCAGTTCGTGCAGTCGACACTCGCCTCCGTCAACTATGTCTTACTCCGTGAGGCCGCCGCTGCAGCATTGGAAGCGCACTAGTCTACAATGGCTTGGCCTGCATGCTCTCCACCTGCCCACCTGCCTGACCTCATCGCCACCCATGTGAATAAGCCAGCAAGGCATCTGACGACAAGTAATGAGTGA